ACCTCGGCAAAATGGCGGATGAGGTAAGTATCGTACAGTGAAGATACCCTGTTGCAGGTAATGTCGACATGCAAAGGAAACGAAAACCACTGAATTTCTAGGGTGATTAGCGGAACGCGCGATTTGCTCAGGAACATCTTGGACACAATTTTATCTGAAGCTACGCGCGTGATCAACGACCAAAGCTGGTTCAAGGCGTTAAACGAAACTCGACGCGAAATCATCGAAATGGTACGAAGTGACTGGCAGTCATTGGTGACTAGGCACATGTCAAAGTCTGAATTGAAACTAGCGATCCGACACATACTGCTTCCATGCAGGTGGATTTCGAAGCGACTATCAATAAGCTTTTTGACCAGGTCAGACAACCAACTCGCGAATGACTTCTTCCACTGAAGAATGCACTCAGTTTGTCTGTTCGTACGGAAGTGATCGAAAATCGCTCTGTTCAAAGTTGTCAGTTGATTTTGAATTAATTCACTTTCAAGACCAGAGTTGATATCCAATAACGATCGCGATTTCAGTCGTTTCATGTGATTTTGGTCATGCGAGCCGTTAGCCGTACAATTTTTTCTCTAAACAAACGTTGCATCAGTCAAAATTTATTCATACTTTGAATTATTTGTGCTGTCTTGCTTTGGCATCTCTTTTATCATCGTCTTCTCCCTCGCCAAACGATCGTTTCTCCATTTTTAGTCGATGACGGTTAAACCGTAAATCTTTTGCTTCAAAGGCAAGCAACCTGATAAAAATATATACAGGTTTTAAACAGAACTCCTAAGTAGTAAAAAATTTTTACTGTGACAAAGCGCAGTCACGACAGTGGTAATGTACATGCAATACAAAAAAGTAAAATCGAATGAGGTAATTACACAGCAGCTGGTCAGCTTACTCGGCCAAGAAATGAGTCAACAAATTATTTAAAAAAGGTTACGTTGTGGAGAAGGGGCACACAAGAATTAGAACTGAGTACGAAATTCCACATCAACTACTGGCATTACGGAGTCGTGTCACATTATATGGATATCGTACATAGGTGCGCTTAACCAAGTAGACATTTGACAGTGCCTGATGAAGTATTTGGGAAAAATGTCAATCATACATTAATTTAGGGCAGTTGTTTACAGCTGTCAGAAGAGACGGAGAACCACCAACAGAGGTTATCTAGTTGTGCATAACATATTAAAAAATATCAATGACCTCAGGGGATGAATATCTTATAGGTGTCAATTAGCTGTAGGTGCGCTGGAGGACAATACAAAACATGGAATGACATCGTTGAGACAAGTCTGCAGCAACAGTGAAAGTTTACTAATATTTATCTGAGATACCATTTCTAAAGGTCAGACAATATTACAACTATTTAAGCTGTGCTAGCTTTGATAGTATAACAAAACAATGAAAATGATGTACAGCTTCGGCACCGGAAATGTTCCCCAAATGAGTCACGACAAAGATCTAACAAAACCACTGAACTCCCCGGAGCTGCAAAGGCACTGCTGAGCATTATCGCTCATCGAAGATAAGGCATGAAACAGAAGAATGGCACTGCTGCCATACACAATCATAACGACATTCTGATGAAGATCCTTTGGTTTACTGTGAATCCTTTCTGTATGCTGCCTTGCAAAAACAGCATTGACCATCATATTAATACTATGCAACAAAAATGTTCAGTACTTTCCAGTCATGACTGTACCGTATAGTACTGAGCCAATCACTGTCAAAAAATATTTGCCGTCTAATAAACAGAAAGTTTAGAAAGCCTTCTCAATGCACCCTAAAATAAAATGCTAGAAGCACGGTGAATGCCGTATCAAGGAAGTTGTATCGCCAATCAGCCATGCCTGCACTTTCTGGAAGAGGCAGAGGGTTTGAATGTTGAAGCATAAAACAGCGTATAAGTTCGCGGTGTTTAGGGCAACGAGGAAAAACGATTTTAATCTACGCTATAGTTGTTTCAACTGCTCTGTTACGACACTGGACATGTGCTTGAAAAGTAACAAGAAGCAGTTTTATGGCATCATGAAAAAAAATGGCTCTTGGGACCCAAGATTAACAACCTTTCGGTATTCTTCAACATCAGCACATACAATTCAATTCAATTTTTACAGCAGTGGTTCCGACATAATCTACACAATAACATGACGAAATGAGAAATATTGTTTACGTATCAGTTATAATAAACTTAAGCTAAAAAACGAATCTTGGTTAAAAAATACACGGAAATTGAGATTTGAATATGAAACATAAAATAAGTTAACTAATGATGTTTTCTTATCTGTTTTACAGAACTTCGTTAGAAGAAATTATCAGAAAACTTACTGACTGCGCGGTCGACTTTAATGTCAAATTTATTAACTCTCTGGAACTAATTTTAAGCTTCCATGAGTAAGTACTCTGACCCAGTCAGTATCTTATGTATAACATATTTTGACAGCATTTTTTAAAACCTTCCAACCTTTTTAAGTAATTTGTTCTGCATTAGAAATCATGCTGACATAAAAAAATTAGTTAAACAACAACCAATATATTTACATAAATAAATTAGATATACCACTTGCGTAAAATTTTAAGCACAGACGTACATAATGCACTGAAACAGATTCAACTGCATTTATTTGCCAGCAAATAAATAAGGAGTATATACTTTGCATATTTATTTATCCTACAACTATTCAATTAAGCCCTTAGGAAAAGAATCATTTTATATAGTTACAATTTTCCTTAACCATAAAATGCCAGTACAAGCTAATCTGCAAACTTCAAGAAATTGAATTTATTTGTGCCAACGCCAAACGCTAAACTCTCAAACTGCAGTTGCTACGAGGAAGAAAATATCAGCGCATTAGAAAAACGAGGTTGCTGTACCCCTATTCAAGAAGGGAAACCACGCGGAATAGTCCCATTATAGGGACATTACGCTATCGAGCCTCCCAGAAAATGTCTACGCAAAGGTGCTAGAAAGGAATTACCTCGAAATAACTGACTCAAAGGTACAAGAAGAGCAGTGTGACTTCCTGCCCTGTCGAAGCACCTCTGACCGTATATTTGCCCTGCGCCAGATTGTTGAGAAGTCGTGGGAGTACGCCGGTCCGGTGTACATGTTTTGTTGACCTAGAAGAAGCCGATGGCCGGATACCGCCAGTCTGTGGTCATGCCTGCGAGCATACGAGATAGATGACCAGCTGCTAACGGTCATCCGATCACTGTATTCTGAAAAGTGCTGCGTCAGAGTTAATGGCGTTAAGTAGAAACCATTCAACATTCGCACTAGTCTCCGACAAGGCTGCGTCCTGTCCCCCGTGCTGTTTGTGTTGTACATGAACAGAATAGTCAGGAGCTGCCAAGGCGATGAGGGTGTCGGTATAGATGTTAAGTCGAGAAGGTTGTTGTTTGCAAACGACCTTGTTTTATTAACATCTTCTGAAACTGATCTCCAGTGCTCATTAGAAAGGTTCGCAGCCGAATGCCATGTGACCGACATGCGTGTGAATGCATTTAAAACGAAAAGTGTAGTGCTTTCTCGTTCTCCTGCCCGTTGCTCTCTTCAGATTAACAAAGAGGCAGTGGAGCAGGTAAAGAAGTTCAAGTACCTCGTAACCGTATTTACTAGTGATGGAAAATTGGAGGAAGAGATTGACCGGCGAATTGGAGTAGCCAGTCGCGTTTTGGGTGAGTCAGCCCCACCCGTTGTGACTAAAGCAGAGCTCGGTCTGAAAACTAAGCTCTCAATATTCAAGTCGATCTTT